TCTCTCTGGTGATCTCATTGGAGATGTTTTTCATTAACTTCACCAGTTCCTCCACGTCACCCAGTGATAATTGCAGCTCCAAGTTTTTGATTAGAGAGACCAAGCAACCGGCATCTGCTGGAATCATGTTTGTAGGTTCTACAAGCTCCAAGTTCTTGTTTTAAACGTCTTTCTACGAAGAGATGCATATTTTGCAAATATTGTTGTTTGCTGCATGTCTGTTTGTTTTTGAAACAAAAAAGTGTGTTATGTCTCTTGTCTGCAACTAAATCACGGACGAACCGATCTTCGACTCTGCAGGCAAGAGAAATACGTTCCTACGAAACAATTGTATAATTCTAGAACGAGTGAATAATCGAAAACAAATAATGGAAAAGAGGATATTAAGCATAATCATTCAAATTTCAGGACCTGAAGCCGAAAGACACGTCGTACACGAGATAGCATATTTTTTTCACAACCATTCAAATGTTACGAGATTAATCACACGGAGTGCAACGCTCAAGCTCTTTTTGCTATTCATGCAAGCGACGAATCAGTTCTGGTTTTGAAAAGCAAGAGAAAACATTTCTCTTTTCTGCGGACAAATCACGAACAATCCTCGATCATCGATTCTGCTGACAAGAGAAGTGCATCAATCGTCCATTGGGAGTTGATGTGAGAAGACTTAAAGAGGTAACGCAAGACAAAGCTGACTACTCTTTGATAGCTGACTGGAGATTCTTTGATTGCCAGCACTCACTCATTCGATTGAGCACCGTCACTGGTTCTGTTCACATGTTCCTCACTATTCACTGTGTCATTGGGCTCGACATTCTCAGCCGATAAATCTTCAGCTGCATCTCCATTTTGATCCTGAGCAGAATTAGGGTCTTCACTTCGTTGGGTTTGACGTTCACGTAGAAGCCATAAAAGGTCCTCATCGTGCAAATTGTGAGCAGCTTTCATGAGACGTCTTTTCTTCTGCTGTTGCACCTTCACCGTTTTATTCATCTCTTTGAGATCTTGTTTTAGCTGTTGCTTTTTGGCTTTTAGTGCATCAAGGTCTTGGATTGCAATGACTTTGCGAGGACGGGCTCGTGGCTTCGCCGCTGCCGAACTAGCCATACAGAATCAGTCGAGAGATGCCTGCGAGGTCCAAAAGCAGCTATCAACTGTAAGCCAAATTTCTGTCATTTGATTTTGTTCCCCCGATTGTAAGTAAAAGTTTGGGGGGTAACACCCTGGCACGCAGCTGCTTTTCTCTTGGCGCATCTGTGGGGTAGGCGGCGAAAGAGATGGCACTGATCAGGCGGTTTCAACACAGTCATGTGCACTCAATGCTAGCTGGCTGCAAATTCGATCAGTCAACGATTTCCATTTCCATATCTGCCACAGGCGAAGCCTGCGGAGTGTCTGGTGCCTGGCCATCTTGCATTGTTTTGAGGCGTTTCGTGATACGCGACAGATGCTCGCGAGCACTGGCTAGCCGCGTTTCATGAAAAGCCACTCTTTCACTGGCTGCCTTCTGCATGTCCTGCAATGTCGGGATGTCCGCTGCGGCTAGGTCAACGTCCTGTCTGGTTTCACAGGCGGGCTCAGGGCTACTAGCAACAACAGTGTCAGTGGCTTGCGTCTCTGGCGATTCATTTGGTGTGTCAGCAGGCGACAATTCTTCTGTCGGTGTCTCGTTGTCAACAGCGGGTCCTGATCTCTGCAATACTAGCCGTCCTGCTCATTGCTACTGCACCAGAAGAGTTTGGCATCCCTGAGTGTACAACTACGGTGGAAGCAGCCGGCTTGGACGGCCTAGACAGATGGGGCATCATACTGCCCAACAGCTCCAGAGTGTCTCTGTTGACGTACAAAGCCATCGTCGCAGTTAGGTACCCAGAACTGGTGCTGCATGATCAGGACCCCATCCAGATAGGACACTTTGTACCTCAGGCGACGGATATCGATCTCCACTGTGGCTTTGTGCTTCCCACAATGGCTCTCCGGTTCTTGTTCACCGGCTCAGGGGCAGCAAGATATATTTCCATCAGGCCACCAAAGACCGGCGGATATTACTAATACCGGGTATCCATTATTTCCTCCAGTAGCCTCTATGTCTGTTGGGTGTGTAGCAGAGCAGCTTGGGTATGTAACAAACCAGCTAGATCTATGTAACAAACCAACTGGATGCATGTAACAAATCAACTGGATTCTATGGATTCTGATCAATCATTCCAATATGGCATCACAAAAACCGGTACAATCTGGAAATCATGTTTCATGTCAAAATGCCCAAAAGTTATGGAACCACATTTCACACCACCAAAATCCATGACCACCCCAAAGATGGCACTGGCACCTTCTTCTTTTTTGTCTTTTTGTTTTGGCAGCTCATCTTAAAAGACACATTGCCAACAGCATCCACAGGAAGTGGAGCGTCCCTCTGCCATGACAAGAACAAAACAAGTGTTTAGACTGCATATTTACTTTCTACAGCATGAACAGGTAACCAGAAGTACAAAATCATTTCAAATCACATGGGTCAATGACACATTTATTTATTGATGAATCATCAGGTCCATTATCCATTGGAAACTAAACTAAACCATTGGATCATGTAGAAAGCACATTTCGTGGAATAATATCATATCAGATCGAATCTTTGTCAAATGTCACATCGGGGAAGGCAGATATCAACAGTATGATTTCAACCAACCACTTCTTCCTATAGGTTTCTTTTGGAAACTTCCACCACCTTGTGCGGTACTAGGGCACTACAGGTACTAGTAAAATTTGAATACAAAACACTTTCAAATGAAACTTCAGGTACTAGGAAAAAGCTGAATACAAAACACTTTCAAATGAAACTTCATTAAAACCTTTGAATACTGTGGAAACCTCTGAGTACAGGCTTGATTGCATTTTTGGCTTCTCAAGTCGGCTGCAAACCAATATGGTAACAGAATTCAAACCCTAAACGAGATCTGACAATGACAAAGCATACCGTCAGTTTCCAGCACTGAGGCCTCCAACTAAACTTCCGGAAATAAAACCCGCTGCAGGATCCTAACACTTCAGTTAGTTCCTGAATGAAATCCCCAAAAACTACCCTGGCCATCCCCACAGCATAGAGTTGGGCACAGGCAGCAACACGGAATAATGCTGGAAGCTTCCAAGCCACAACTACCATTGCAACGTTGTCACAACTCTACACTGCCTGTGAATCATCCTCAATCCTCAACGAAAGCCACTCTTCGTCGCTTTCGGACATCCGGGTCAGGGTGAAAAACCAAAGTCATCGAACTGCTCTCACTATCCGAAGGTGAGGGGTATGGCACCAAAGGCCTCGAATTGAAGTTGTGGCATTGCTTCCAACCCAAAACCACTTTCAATCTTGCAACTGTCACCAAAGCATCTACTGGTCAATCGTCAATCAATCAAACAAACAACGTTTCGGACCGCTTTTCGCGCGCGAATTCAATTCGCGCGCAAATTCAATTTCATTTTTAGCAAAGATTTTGACATCTCTGCATGTAACGACGTCAATATATCTATATGCATACGTATCCATATGTCTATATATATATATATACAGATACAAACAGATATAAATATTTGTATATACAAATGTTTTGCGTGCAGATTTGATTGTGGAATCCAAAAACGTGATCAAGTCCAAAGGAACGTCATCACTGCCCCACCCCAATGCGTGGCGTAGCATCAACAACGTGATCAAGCCCAAAGGAACGTCATCACTGCCCCACCCCACCCCACCCCACCCCAATGCGTGGCGTAGCATCAACAACATGATCAAGTCCAAAGGAACGTCATCACTGCCCCACCCCACCCCACCCCAGTGCGTGGCGTAGCATCAACAACGTGATCAAGTCCAAAGGAACGTCATCACTGCCCCACCCACCCCACCCCACCCACCCCAATGCGTGGCGTAGCATCAACAACGTGATCAAGTCCAAAGGAACATCATCACTGCCCCACCCCACCCCATGGTGTCGCGAAACCCTGCGTACACTGGCAAATATGACATAAAAACCGCCGTGCCCTGCAGTACTGCGTCTCTTTCGGTGCACGCGGACAAGGGTCCGGAAGGAACAACCAAATTCAAATTACAATGTGTTCAAACCTGTGGTCAAACCTGTGGTCAAACCTGTGGTAGAATGGCAGGATGCCAAAATGCATCACCCGGCATCACCCCATCCTATCCCAATTTGTCGAGGAACCCATCGTCGTCGGAAAGGGGCAAGACATAGAGGAGCATTCCAACCATAACTGCTCCGACAACTGATGTTGTCATGGCATTTCCTGCGGAAGGGGGACCAGGCAAAAAAAATCAAACATCTATCAAATTTGAGGTGCACACACATGTTGATCGTATATCAAGTCGTCTTATTTTGCGATCAAGGTCTTCAACTCTGTGAAACAGAAATGTGAGCGGGAGGGTGGTTAAGCAAAAACCCTGGTAATGGATGCTGGTATGAAAGAAAGAGTCTATCCGACATGTTGGCCAAACATTCAGCGAAACTGGCCTGCCAGCTTCGTGATCATGTTTGCATCATCCGAGGGTTCCCGATCCAAGTCCAAGGGATCATACCCTTGTCCTGCCAAAATTGCCTGCATTGCGGAGTCTTGACTTGTTCATGCATTCGTGCTACAAACTGTGTCTGCTGCATTGTACATTCCAACCCATGTTATGTGAGTAGAAGTTGGAGGAAGCTAGGATTTGCATACTTTAAGAACTACCAGGGTGTGATAATGAGCACAGAATAAAGGACATCTGATCTCTTTTTCCACTTCTGCCATCGGCCCCAGCTGACAGCTGTGTTGAAGGAATTTGAAGTACAAGCCGTGGGTCACTATGCCATGAAGCATGACATGACATGCCACCTAAAGACAAACTCAACATACCTCGCCTGAACTACCAAAATCTATGCAGGTCTGGGCTTGTGAGTCGTGGCTGTCAGTCGTCAAAAATAGCCACAAGACCACAGCATGTCTAACAGGCTCACATCCTACTTTTTGTTCTTCTTGGCCTTGGGCTCTTTTGCCTCAGTACTGGGTCTCTTTTTCGATTCCTCCGCGTCCTTTGCTTTCTTCTCTTTCTTCTCTTTCTTCGACTTGTCTGGCTTCTCGGCCTTCTCCTTTTTGTTGCCGTCCTCGGCCTGCAGGGCTTTCAAGTTCTGACCAAGTTTGGCTGGCAATGCGTCGTAGTCAAACCCATTCCCAAAGCATTTCTTGAAGTAGGCATCGACCTTCTTCACGCTTTGCTGGTCCTGCTTCTGCACAATGCAACTTGCCAAGAGAATGAAGCTGACATACTCTGTCCCAACCTTGCATTTGGACTGCCCTTCCTGGACAAAATCCTGACAAACCTTCAAGCCTGCCTTCAACTCTTCACACTGTGTCACGCCCATGTGGCCAACCAGCTTGGCCAGAGTCTCCTGCATATCCAGGAACTCTTGGCGGTGAGTTTTGAAGTCTTCGATGTCTTGCTTCACCTCTGCTTCCGATTCGTCTTTGAAGATCCATTCCACATCCTGAAGGTCCCACTTCTCAACTGCAGCCTGAATGGCTTCATACTTGGAGATGAATCGATCCAGCGGAGGCAAGGCCACCTGGCTGGTGGCAGAAGCTGCCTCTCCAATGCCTTTGCTAAAAGCTGACTGGAACTCTCGGCATCGGTTGCATGTTGCCTCCAGCAAACTTGCATCCTAGCCAAGGAACGCAAACTTACCACTGGTTGCGGAGTAGGCTGATTCAAACACCTCAAGTCTCAGCAGGAAACCTGTCAGATCCCCTTCTGGCCTTTGAATGTCTTCACAGGCTTGATCCCAGTTCGTTTGCAAAACATTGGCTACTGGTTTCAAGTCTGGAGGAAGAATCTGACTGAGGTCCTTTGTCTTGAAGTCGCCACTGATCAGGCCTGTCAGGATGGCTGCATAGCAAACACGCTGCAATCTTTCCAACATCTGCTTGATGGCGCTGCTGGCGATGAAAGGCTTCAAGTCGTCACTGCCCTTGGCTGGAAAGAACTTGAGGCATTCCTTTGCATAGTCCTGCAGAATCCTCACACTCTTGACCTTGTCATCCTGCCGGCAGTCAACAGTGTTCTGCTTGGAAAGTGTCCGTGTTGCCCATTCTAGCAAGAACTGGAATGAGCTGGCAGTAATCTTCTGATCCTCGTTGTCAATGTCGGAAAGGCCGAACTTTGCATTGATGTAGCCTGCAACAAAAGTGGGCTGACATGAATGATTCCTGAATGATTTTCAAAAACAAAAGTTTCCCTTTGACTCATGACATGCCTGACTGATGCATGACATGACTCCTCATACTCGTGGGCTGCCCTACGCACTTGGGAGAATTTGAGGCAATCATATGATCATTCATACAGCATACATTAATATTATTACGCATCATATAAATTCTGAATTCTTATCATTTCATTAAATCACGAAACCATTCCAAACCCCATTTGACTTGCCAATCATACATGTCCAGCTGAGTGGAAACTTCTAAATAGACAAGTTAAGTAGCCATGCAACACTGCAAAAGGAATGCTTGGTCCACAAGACTTGGCAGTGTTGGCAAGGACAGCGGGAAGGACTCAGCAATGTCCTTGCTGCTAGCATCATCAGGGATGTTGAGTTGCAACCCCACAGAATCAGCAAGGCTGCCCAAGGCTGCATCAAAGTCCTTCATCTTGGACATCCCCCCTGCCCATTTCACAAGGGCAGCCATCTTGTCCTGAATCTTGCCAACAGACAACTCGCATTCGCCCTTGCCCCCCTTGCGCAAAGCCAAAAGGAGATCTCCTGCTTCTGCAACTCCTTCCACTGCTGTCTTGATTGCATCCAAGTTTTCGTCCGAAATGTCAATCTCAAAAATGGCATCGAAACGTTCCAGGAGGGGGTCAACTTTCTGCTCAAGAGCCTTCATGCTTGCAATCTCCTTCTGGGAGTTCAGAAGAAGTTGCCAGAGCTTCCTGTCAGGTGAGGGCAGGATGATAGAGGTAATGTCTAGGCTCAGGTGATTGGGAGGTATGGTATGGTCTGACTACGGCTTGGTATGACAGGATATGGACCTATGGACCATGGAGGTTCACTATCAATTGATCCTGATCTGTGAATGTGACTGGCTCTGACTATGATGACGAGATTCAATTGGTTTCATTGCTAGCCCTTTGAAACCCGTGACTCTTTTGCCCAGTGGTTTGATATTGATATTGATATTGATAGTATACACACTTGCATTGATATATGGTTTGTTTGATGATATGCAAACTGCCGAAACGATTCCCTATAGGATGCAATCTTTGGATATGCCGATATGCCGGATATGCCGTTTGAGGAGTGGCGACCAATTTAAAGCTGCCCACTGTCCCATTGACCATGGGCAGGCTTTTGTTTCTCCTTTTCATGCAGTACGGCTGCTGCCACATAAAGGAACTGCAGTGAAAACTGCAAAGACCCTGGCAAAGCAAATTGCATAAAAGCCAATCAGCAACTTTGATCCTGGATAGGATAGGCGATGAACAAACATCACGCAACTACTCCGCGTGCATGATGTTACTTTTGCCTGTACATGGAGCACAGCACAAAGAAAGTCCAAATTGAACGGATTTGAACGGCTACCATCCAGTAGCCAATCTGGTGGTCAGTCTGTTCGTAATCACCCATCCACGTGCCCTCATGAACTTCTTCAGAAACCTCGGGAGCGAAAAGACAGAACAAACAAAAACACAAACAAACAAGTAAAAGAACAGTTTACATCACCCATTTTCACATTAGGCACATGGACATGGTCCATGGTATAAGCCAGACTGTGTTATATGTATGACTATGGCTGCACTACACTATGCCACTACCCTGGACTTGGCCTGACCAGATCAAAAGCTTGCAATTCCTGCAGTTCACAAATGATGAAAGATTAGATTACGATTATATAATTAGGCCATCATATAATCAGAATCATATTATATAATCAGAATCAGAACCATATAGATCATCGATCTTAGATCGCCGAGTGGACCACAGACTGTGAAACTAGAAGCATCGGCCATGCAAATGGAGCATGGTGAGGTGGACATGTCATGCACTTCGCCTTGTTCGCCTCCAAGCCATCAAGATAGGCAGTCTCAGCGATTGCAAGGTCATGGTGCAACTGGACCGAAGCAGGGCTCTTGAAAACAATGTCTTCGATCTGTACTCTGCGAGATTGCCCAGCTGCAACAGCAACTTTGAGACCGGACCCTTTCACCTGCTAGGGGCTGTCTGTCAAAGAGTCCAGGAAAGCAAGAGAGCAACAAAATGCATTTTTACCTGTACTCTGTCATCATATGATATCATATAGCACATGTCCTGTCCTATTATATGCCACAACATGTAGGCTGTCTGGATGTAACGAAAAATATAACACCCTGAAACTGAAATGCCGGCCTGCATAAAACCAATTTTCTGGAAAGAAGCAACCTGTCTGACATTTCATGACATATGGTCCCATGGTGCCTTTGGCATTGGCTTCATCCTGATTGTGGTAACAAAGGAACTTGTTGTCCTTGATGGAGGTCCTCGAGAAGGTGGCTCTGAACCACTGCCCTGGCTGTCAATACTGTGTACACTCAACATGCCATCATCACTGTCTCCCCCATCACCTCCGTCACCTCCACCTGCAACGTGAGTAACATGAGGATCATGAGCAACTGTAGGAGAAGAGTCAACCATCTCCCAACCGTCTGAGTCTGCACCATCATCTGCAAGTGTGTCAGGGAGAGTGTCAAGGGCGTAGACAGCTACATCTTGGTGATGTGCTCCGTCTCCCATTAAGTTATCTTGCAAATTAGTTGCAGGATTTGCTGATTTTGAACCAAAGCTTCGACAGAGGTTGTTGACCCTGCCCTGACCTAATGAATGGAAATGGAAAAACGGACCTGGCCTGGACACAAGGATAATATAACGACACATCACATGTGTCATGTGATGTGACATGTGTCACATGACTTTGATTTTAACTGATTTGATTTGATTTGATACGATGATCCATGAGTCAGGCACACGAACATACCCCAACTCACACTGCTACAATTGCTACATTAAAATTGACATTGTCAGTGACATTGATCATGAATCAAGCAAGTCAGAAAACAGGATGAACTTAAACCGCTCCAGCCTAACTTCCCCTGCCTCCATTCGCCTTGCGATGACATGGGCACAACCACTCTGGCGCCAAAGCCAGCTGTTGGGCCACAAACCTTCTGGAAGTATTCATTGTCCTGCTTCAGATGCTCGCTTGCACCCTCCTCCTTCATGAGGCATGCAAAAACACGTTGCAAGTCCCTCATATTCTCTACTGAGAATCCAGAGCGGTTCCTGTAGCTCTCCAGTGCCACGGAGCCGATCTGGTTTGATGAAGGAAGCCTGACTCGAAATGTGTAATGACAAGCCATGGCTGAACTGGAACTTGCAAGATTCTAAGAAGATCATTATGGAACGGTTCTCCAAAACAACAAAATGTGATCTCGACCTGATTGAACCTGGGTATTTTTTGAAAGGCACTATCTTTCCACACTAGGGATGCCAATGGGACAATGATCACTTTAGCTCAGTTAGCCCGTCATGCCTGATTTGCCTGATAATTGAGAATCAAACAGTCAGACTGACAAGAAACCAATCGAGTTCATCATCAAAGCATTTCTGGCAAAGTGAAGGTGGAAGTTTCGCTTGAGCCATTGCAATGCTGGTATTGCCCTTGAGCCTTTCAAAGAAGAATTCACCCAAAGCCCTGGTTTGGATCTTGAGAAGATCCTTGACAAAACTGTCCTGTTGGTCCTTCTCACTACCAATCTTCATGGCCAATAGCGTCCCAAGGTTGAATGAGCATTGCTCAATCAGGCCGTCTTCGCCGGTTCGAATCTGAAGGAACAAGAAAAGGCAATGGTCTTCCACCTGAGACAAAGGGGCGCCAAAAGAAGATGGGCACATAAACACATCACATGTCACGTACGTCGCATAACATAGATTATCTTGGCAGATTATCAAAAGTAGGTTTCTGACTGGCTGGCACTACAAGACTAAATTCAGAATACAGTAATGAACCAATGGAGTCAAGTTCAGCCCATCCCATCTCGCAAACTACAACTGGAAACTGGAAACGGTGAAATGCACATCTTGCCTCGAACAATTTCTTGGCAATGGAATGCAACATGTCAGCAATGGTTGCGCTGTCCGAGAGCAAGCTTGTGCAACATTTCTGAATGGAAGACACCAGCTCCTTGCCCTCGAGAACTTCCTTCGACATCTCTGCTGATCCCGTCGTCCTGACAAACAGGCAAGTTGCCTTCAGGGACTGGGCGAAGGCAATGCTCTTGGCAAGATCGATCTTCAAAGTGGAAATCTGCTCTCTCAAAGGCTCAGGAGTGTCAGGGTCGGAGAGAGCTGACAACTCATCCAACGCAGCAGCTGCTTTGGTCAAACGCCTGTCAAGTTCCACTGTGCGAACCAAGCTCCTCCAAACAACATTTGGCGTCAGTTCCTGCAAAAGACCAAGAGTCTTCTGATGGGTGGCAACGAGATTGCCAATACGGTCTTCTTCCTTTTTCCTCTCTTTGTCAGCTTTATCGGCGGCTTTATCAGCTTTGTCCTTCACAGCTGATGGTGCCTGTGTAGCCTCAGTCTTTCCAGATCTCTTCTTGGCATTGGCTTTCGCCTTGCCCTTTGCACTTTGTTTCTTGTTTGCGCTTGCTGGCACTTCGGGCTCCTGTTTGGCTCGAGAAACTCCAGCAAAGCTGCTGGAGTCAGACGAGTCCTCCGAGTCACTGGCTGGGGACTTCTTGTCATCAGAGCCACTGTCCTCTGCCAAAGCCTGCATGATCTCCTCCGGCATGGATGGATGCATGATGTTAGCGATGTCAAGAATGCAAACTGCAAAAAGTTTTTGAAGCTGGCAAAGTGACTAACTCAAAAACCGTCATCTCTGTATGAAACATAACATAACATATATAACATAGTTGACTTATATCTTGATCTTACCACTGCAAGTGCTACATGTACAGGCACATGCATCTGAACCATTCAAACTCATCAAAATAACTGCATCTTTACAGGTCACACCAACTCACAATATGGAGATCTCAGGCACACATTCACAGGTTCTCAAATGCTCACACGTGGATCATTGAATCATAGATACATCGGTCGATGACCAGGTACTGATCATGGCCAGTGTAAGTTCAACAGTCAATGCAAATGTGACCTGTACATGTGGTAATGGACAATGTTTCCTGATTCTTGCCCAGCTAGGCCCCTGACCTTCGAGTTCGTTTCCACTTGAAGTCGCTTTGCAGCCTTTTCAAAAGCTTCCTTCGACTCTTCTTTGTCCTGGAAAGCTTCCTCTTTGACCCTCTTTGTGCTGCGTCTGTGTCCTGAGAGCATCACCACCGTGTCCAAGACCGGGACACAATCAGTACCATCCCTGGGATTTTGTACTATCCGCAAGCCCAAAGTCTGTGTCACATACTTCTTGCGTTCGGTATTGGTTCGAAAGGTCAAGCCCTTTTTGTTGTTCTTTGGGTCGTTGCAGAAGGTCTTCAAGTCCTGGAGTTTGTTCACCTGTGCAGTGCAGCGAAAGAGGATCAGAGACACAGGCTCAGGTGAACAAAACAGCATCAGTCAAGTTTTTCCAAAACAAGGGAAAACCTAATGATAAAACCACAGGCACACTTAGTGGGGCGGCACATCTTACATCTTAGATTCTCTACTGTGTAGTGCTACTGGCTCTGCACAGCAAAAACTACCATGCTACTGCACCACTGCCAGTGTCTGTTTACCCCCTGCAAGCTGTCAAGGGGCTTCTTGGAAGTCGACGTACTCTTCCTCGGACTTTTTTATCAACTCGTCCAAGTTCACCTTTGCATGTCGGGGCCGTTTGCCTGGGTTCAAGAGTCTTTCATGCATTTTGTCTTTCCGGCAGCCAAAGAACCTTAGGCCGAAACAACAAATGCCACAGCTGACCACTCAATTTAAGAAAGTTTGACAGCCTTGAAGCCCAGGGATGGTCAGTCTATTGGTTTGAATCTCTCTGTTCAAGCAGTGCTCTGGAGAATTTACACAACAGAACCTGTAAGTCAAAATTGCTGTTATAAGTATAATAAGTAGTATGTATACATAAGTTAGATTATACCACAGTATCATATCATCATGTGTCGGACACCTTGATTCTGATTGATCATATAAATGGTGATGTGAAACTAAAACTCTCGAACTTGAATCAAAAACAACCAATCGGCAAAGAAACTTTTCCTTCACCGTCTCGTGCTGCTGGATTGCGTCACAAACTTCACTCTGCTTTGAACCTGCAAAGCTGCCCCTGAGTACATAAAAGCACTCTTTGCAGATGCTGGAAGTCGGTTTACACCGGCATACCACAATGGTATGGCCAGGTGGGCAGTCCTTAGATCATGTCAGTATCATGTCATCCAGGGCCATTGTTTGCATCACATCAAATGCATTACACTGAGACAATGAGTGAACCAAACAAAACTCACAGGATACTTTATCTGATCTGATCTACCAAAACAATTTAAATACATTATACACAATATTATATATTCCCAGATAATCAATCTATCTATCCATCATTTATCCACCGGTGATCACTCATCACTCTCTCACTCAGCTTATCAACGCGTCTGTGCTCAAATCCTGTTTAAATCTCAATCGTTTGGAAAGTGTTGCATCCCAGTGTCAAAGTCTGGATCGCCATACTTTTGCTTGCAAAACGGGCATACACACTGACTGGGATCATCGGACATGGCACGGTCTGATCCAACACTTAAGCAGTTCCCTGAACCTGAAAATGACTTTGGTAGCCTCGAATTCAGACACAGGCAACCACACCAACCTTGCACTTGCACATGTCATGCAACCATACATTACCAGACCAACCATGCAATAGACAATCCAATACCTTACCACGAGTCATTTCATATTCTATCATGTCTGGATGCCTAGCAAGTGAACGAGCGAAACCCAACAAGTAGCCCCAAACCAGGTGAGAATCCACAGCATCTCAATGTCACCGCTGTAACTTGTTTTGTGACATGGCTTGGAAAACACCGAAAACTTTGGGCCTGGGCTGGCAAGAACTTCTGGCGCTGGAGATGCCAAAGGCGCATAGAAGTGGTGAATGCAGCACCTTGTCCTCCTCGATACACCCCCATTCCACATGTGGATGATCCTGGGCCAAGCAAACCAAAAAGGCATGAAAAAACTTCTTGCAAATGATCCGTAAATGATACAAACCAAATTCGATAAAAACTTGATGTTGAGCCTGCAAGGGTACTTTGACCACCCAGGCGGATATAGAAGTTACAATTGAACTGCAAAAATAGATTTAGAAACTTAAATGTGAATCCGAATAATTGGCAACAAAGTGAGAGTGTAGTCATATGACAGTATGACTCTCATACTGGAAAGTAAGTGAAGCAGGCAGTAGACAATGAACACCATACCATACCAAGAGAGGTTTAGCGTCCGTAAGTCAACCCTTTTCTTGAATATAATTTCACCATGACCGCTTTAACAACCCTAGACAGTAGTCTTGAAGGTTTCTATCAATGGACCAGTGCGAACATTTGGAAATCATATGTTTTTGATAATCAGTAAATAAAATGTGGACAAATCAAGATGAAATTCCAATACCTATCTTATCAGTAGGCGAAATTGCACCAAATATGTTTGGCTATGTTTTGCTAAATCCATGTGTTCCTGTCCCAGTCAAGAGTCGCGCAACGTCGACCAAAGTGCCATTCAGGGCATCCTCTGAGATTGCCTGGGCTCAAACTGAAGAGCTAAGCAGCTGCTACTAGGGAAGTTCTAAAAGGCGACTCACAGTTATTTCGACAGTGCAACATGCAACATTAACCTACTCAAATTATCATCTCGACACATTCTTTCACTCATTTGCCATCTATCATCTATCATCTATCTATTCACCCTGAATCCTGGCTCTTCACCTTAGTTGTCAGGAATCTAAATTATAGGCCTGAGTCTGAGAGTTTTAATATGGTAGAATCTGGATCCTGCAATCTTAAAAGGGTTTGGGTGCACAAAAATGTTTTTCTCAAAGTTTTGGGGGCTAAGCTGGCCAAAAAGGAACACTAATGAAGCATTGAGGAGGTATTCTTCAACTTAACATTCCAACGCTAACAGGGGGTAGCATGTTTTTTGATTTGGTGGTGATTTGGCAATGCAAAGGGCCAAGAAAACAGCAATAACGAAACCCTTGACCATTGCCATTTGATGGCTTTAAGGAAGCACGCCAACAGTCAACAGTAGCATTTCTTTAAGGCCTCCAGCCTCCATGTCAACTTCATTTTGCTGAGTTTGCATCGCTAAAACACATGTTACATGTTCAATGATGATACGGTAATGATACGATACTGATGATACTGCAAAAGAATCTGATAGCAGCTTAGTAACATCTATCAATCTATCATTTCGCAATTCTGCACATATAATCAAATCAATGACAGGGCAATTGCATGCAGTAACAACATGAGTCTCATGTAGCATGTTACAGTAGTTAGCATGTGTGTATTGAAAATTGCTTTAAATTTTACAATTGATGCAGGTATGCATATGTCACCCTATTCAGGAATCGGAATCTCTGCTAACTTCACTGGCAGCTTACAACTTCCAACTAGTAAATGGCTAACATACTGTAACATACTGATACTTTCATAGACAAATTCCTAATGGAAAAATACAAACCTGTACTTGAGTGAGTAACACCAGGAAAAAGCCTTAAAAACATACATAACTTAACTTCACATCATTACAATAATGACTGTGTTAAAAGTTGTAAGTTGTAAGTTACAAAATATTAGATTAATAGATTGAATGAATATTATTTGTTTATATACTATATACATACATCAATTTGATGAATGTATATAATATATAAACAAATAATATTCAGGAATCGGAATCTCTGCTAACTTGACTGGCAGCTTACAACTTCCAACTAGTAAATGAACAAAATTTCCTTTGAAAGGGGCCCCCAAGGTGAAAGGGGTCCTGGCCTAGAAGCCTCCAAGATTAATTTCGACCGAGTTTTTGCCTTTGTATGAAAAACTCGGTCGAAATTAATCTTGGAGGCTTCTAGGCCAGGACCCCTTTCACCTTGAGGACCCCTTTCAAAGGAAATTTTGTTAATGGCTAACATACTGTAACATACTTATACTTTCACAGACAAAGAGTAACACCAAGAAAAAGCCTTAAAGACATACATAACTTAACTTCACATCACTACAAAAATAAACTGTGTTAAAAGTTGTAAGTTGTAAGTTACAAATTATTAGATTAATAGATTGATATATATATATATTATTAATATAAAAATAAATAATATATATATAATATATAAATATATTATATGTTATTAGTTAGTTTTATTGTAAATCTATGTTATCATTGTTGGTAAAAAAGATAAAGTTAAAACAAGAAAAACATCATCTAAAAAGTTTATCAAAATATGATACAAACAAGGTATACCCAGAACGGTTCTGAACGGTTCTTTGCATTTTTTCACTTACCCCCAGGAACGGTTCTGAACGGTTCTTAGGATTCTGATTTTCCAGAACTATTTGGAACGGTTCTGAACGGTTCTGGAACTATATCATTTTTTGTTGGAAATCACTCAGAACGGTTCAGAACGGTTCTGGTGCATGCCATTTACCATTGCATTTTCAGCATTATGTTGGATTTATATAAAACAATATAACAACATGTATTTATCTAACTTAAATTTAGTCAATATGAAGGTTAAGAAATATAGAGTCAGAGTCATAAGTCATAACATAAGTCATAATAAATTGATGTTATTATACATTAAATTATATATTATATAATAATATAAATGTAAAATAAAAACATATAAAGTTAAAGGTTTTCTTACAATCAAAGGTTTGAAGGGTTAAAGGTAACTTGGCACATCAACAAAGCAAAGATGAAACACCAAAGACAGTCTTCAGTCTACTCTTATCATTTTGTAAATACGCGAAAGCCACAGGGAAAAAACAGAAAGAACAAAACACACATCACACATTCCAAAAACCAGCCAGGAATGCAATTTTAAAAAGCTGAGGTACAATGAGCCTTTCATACTCAACATCCAATTTCTGCAGCTGGCGGCTGTTGAGCAATGACTTGGTATTCCTCTGCAAACAAAGTAAAGGCTTGTTTTCTCCCAGGGTGGGATTCGTTTGGGTGGGAGAGCGAAATTCAGCAACAATCAGTGCTCAAATTTTATTGAGCACCCACCCTCCCTACCCTTTCTTGGGATGATAAATTCAGAGTGATATTCATCATCGTTGATAAGCACAATGACTTCCGATGTTTCATTCGATAAGTTTTCAAGTTAAACAGTTTCCTAGAAACAAACGTCAGGTCAACACAAATAAAGTGTGTGATTCACAACCATGCGGTTCACGAAGGTTTGTTTCGGTATTCGTTGAAAGACCCTTCACGACACAAAAGTAACGTGCCAGATAATGTCAGGTGAGGGTCGCAAGATAACAGGTTACGCGCCTGCCAGGCAGAATCAGCACGAAGGTACCATCCACGCAAACGAGCCACAAACCCACAAAGCACAACACAAGCTACTTAGGAGCTGTACCAACAAGTGCGCTTCAGGTCTTTGACCTTGCGCCGAGTTTTGAGAAACAGCAGGATCAGCCTTCACGTTTCTAACCCTCTCTTGTCGGTACTAGCAAGTTAAGCATGTGTTGTGCGTATTCACAGGGCGTTACGTGTAGCTTGTGGTGTATCGCGTGGTGGCACTATATGCTCGGGTATACGCGTAAACTGAACCATATTCATATACAAATTCACGTATTAAAAATTTTACAACAAACACTCAAACTGATTCACGGAGAGAAAAAGATGAAACGCAAATGCAGCTGGAAATGTCTCTGACAATGGCTTTCAGCTGAGTCGGCCATTTCTTTTTGTCACCGCGTGTCGGGGGAATATGATCCGTTTCTGTTTGCTGCTTCGAGCATGGAACATTTCACGTCGCCTCCACGTCAAGAATTCACGTGTAGCGACTCAATCACGTTCTTCCACATTCCTCTGCAAACAAAGTAAAGGCTTGTTTTCTCCCCCAAAGTTGCAGCCTTTGTGTTTTGCTTTAGGCCGCTTCGAATTTCACCAGCTCAGCCAACTCCGTGTCAAAACGTGGCCTTTGACAAAAACTCAGCACATAACCTGGTAGGACTATGGTTCCGCAGTTGGTCGCTCCTACCAGGTCACAAAGTTCTTGAGCTTTTCCTCTGGAAGGGAGGTCCGCAGG